CTGTTGTTGAAAAATAATTCATTTAGTGAATATTTCTTATATTATGTGATTTCTGTGATAAATAATTTTTTTAAATCTGAAAAAGCAATGTTTAATGTCCTAAAAACATCTTTTTAAAAAAAGCATCTAAAATGTAAGCAGATCATGTTTTTTTCATAACTTTTGAGTATGGGTGTGTGTAGTGTTTGGCCAGAAGAACATCCCCTCCAGCCTGGAGTTGGTCAGGGTGATATACTTCTAGCCAATCAAGGACTAGCTTATATCTCGCAATCCTCTTTGATTCCTTCTACAGAAATATAGAATTTAATTTTATAAATGTTGAAATTTAGCAAATCGCTTTGCCTTCTCCTATATTTTTGTCTAACATATTGAGTTGCCAAGTTGAGGCCCCTAATATTGCGAGATCGGGGGCAGTTGCTCCTCCTATCCCCCCTCTGATTGGCACTGGACGAGAGAAAATAGCGACACCAAGCTACCGAAGAATCTAGGAGTTTGCTTATGCTTAATAGATATTTCGAGAGCCGACCACCTCTTATGTGGTCCTATTGAAGGTTTTATTTAAGATATTGAACATTTATAAAGTAATAGCCTATTTTTGAGTTTTAACAGATTGGTCAATCAACTGTTACGTGGCATGTTGAAGTGCGGGCTATCGCGTGACTTTACATTTTGCGGTTACTTTTAATCTATTAATTAATACAAGCCTAATGATTTAAAAATATAATATTTATAAAATAATGTCTCATTTTACTTTATCGGCAGTTATGTATATATAAAACGAAAAAGTATTGGAATCGTGTCAAATTTGACCATCCCAGTTTATTGCAAATATACATATTTTGAGAATTTTTGTCTGTCGGTGAATATCTATGATAGAATGTTTTGTCGTTTTGATCTAAGCTTTTGGTCGATCTGCATAAAATTTTTCATATTTACTCTCTGGAAACCTGAGGAAAATATAGACATAGACATGAAATATTTTCTGATTTGATCTCCTCCACCTTGATAAACATAACGAGTAGACTAAAATAACAAAACTTGTAATATAGTTTTCATTTTAACGTTTATCCTTTTTACTTTCTGACCAGGAAATGCTGAACATATCTGTTAGTTATTAATAAAAATAAATAATTACAAACTGTAATAAAACTATAAATTTTTAAAATATTCAAAACTTTAACTGAGATAGAATTTGTTTTTTTAATTTCTATAATGCTGCTATATTTTTGAATCAATTCCGATAAAAATTCTTTTTCATTCTTTTTCAAATGTGGTAAAATGCTTTCAGACACTTTCGACTTTTTGCGCCATTTTATCCACTACATCCATTTTANAGACTTTTTGTCTATCGGTGAATATCTATGATAGAATGTTTTGTCGTTTTGTTCTAAGCTTTTGGTCGATCTGCATAAAATTTTTCATATTTACTCTCTGGAAACCTAAGGAAAATATAGACATAGACATGAATTATTTTCTGATTTGATCTCCTCCACCTTGATAAACATAACGAATAGACTAAAATAACAAAACTTGTAATATAGTTTTCATTTTAACGTTTATCCTTTTTACTTTCTGACCAGGAAATGCTGAACAATTCTGTTAGTTATTAATAAAAATAAATAATTACAAACTGTAATAAAACTATAAATTTTTAAAATATTCAAAACTTTAAATGAGATAGAATTTGTTTTTTATTTTCTATAATGCTGCTATATTTTTGAATCAATTCCAATAAAAATTCTTTTTCACGTGTAGTAAAATGCTTTTAGACACTTTCGCCTTTTGCGCCATTTTATCCACTACATCACGTGATTTATTGAAACCAATCAGTGTCTGTTAGATACTAACAAATCAACAACTATCGATTTCAGACGTATAACGAGTAAACAAACTTCGAATTCAGAACGTTCAGATTAGTGAATATGAAACTGAATAACTCTTTATACTACCCCGGTTGTTATATAACTCGAGTATATCGACTTTCGAAATAACTCGTGTTGACAATTAGTAAGACAATTTAACTCCCATAAGAGGTATGGAAGTTAAATTGTCTTACTATGTTTTGAAGAAGATCATTTAACCTTAGTAAAATCTCAATGCTAACACACAGGCATTCTACAAGTAGCAATGTGTTGTAAATACAAGCAGCTGTGACTTGTACTGTAGATTTGTGCTAATAAGCAACCTCTCTCTCTCCAGGTATTTCGAGATAAATCCTTTTTGAAAGTTGTCATATATATAAGTTGCATAATTTAAGTTACCTACTTTCTTCCAGCAGCAGAAGAGATGATAGAAACAAATTGTGTAAATTAAGGTAAGGCCAATGAGTTTTCAAAAAGGATCGTCTCGACATACAATGGAAAACAGTGTTTTTTAAACATTCTATCTCACGATGAATCCTAAGCTACATAATTTTTAAAAATATTTTATTAGTAGCCAATATGTTTAGCAGTTTACTTGAATTCTTATNGTAGCAAAGTCTTTTTACTGTAATGAAATTCTGTGATGCAAATAAATGAATTATAATATCAGTTATTATTTATGTATATAATACATCTATCCCTTGTTTTACACAGCACTTTTTTTGCATGTTTTCGCTTTTACATGGTTTTAAAAAAATTTTAAAAATTGGAATCAAGGAATTGTTAAAAAACCTGATGAAGAACTTGGAAGGAGTTTGAAAATGTTTGTTTTTGTTTGTTTTCATTATCTACACACCTTAATTGGCTTAGAGTACATGATTATGTAATTAGAGTTCAAAAATGTAAGTTGTATTGTTTGTCCTTAAAACTACACTTCAACCAGATTATGTTACATGATATACAGATCAAAACATTATTGAAATTTCATTTCATGCATATTATTAATCAAATGTTACAACCAGTTCTTATTGGGTGGGCTATTAAGAGGCTAATTAATTAATCCAATATTTAAGCAATTTGGACTGAAGATAGAGAGTTAAGTTGCCATCCTATACTAAATTTAATACTTAAAATAAAAAAAAAACTTTAATTTAGAATATTCTGGAAGAAAAGATTGGCCCAGAGTGAGACTTGAACTTGTAACTCCCACTTACTGCACAAATGCATTAACATTTAACTCCCCAGATCTCAGACTATTCTTCAATTCCAGACCAATTAATTAATTTTAATTTAGATATAACCGTACTTCTCATACTTTCTCCCAGAATATTTTAAGTTAAATTTGTTTCTTTCTAATTATTAAATTTAACACAAGATGATGACTTAATCACATATATCTAGTAAAAATTGCTTAATATTAGATCAATTAAACTCATAGTAGCCCAATAAAAATCTGACTATAAGATTTCATTTGATAAGTAATATTTATCAAGTTGTTTGTAAACCTAATTACATGTTACTTATGTATGATATTGATTTGTCAGTAAAAATAAATCATATATGTGATATAAACTAAAAATACAGCTCTGAACAATGCAGTTGGATCTTATCAGAATTGTAGACCATGCCCACCTAACTATATAAAGCTGAAAAACTGGACTCTTTCTTTCTGTCACTATATGCCAAAAATGGCCACTAGGGGGTGCCCCTATTATTTACATTAACAATAAAATCAGTATATTATTATTTGACGCAGTTTTTTGTATTTTTGGCTTCGTTTTAGTAGGGTATACCATGAAAAATTCAGTATATTATTATTTTTATTTGTAATAGGAATTTATTATTTATACCATGAAATGGCACCGCTGCTGCTAGAATGCCCACTAGGGGGTGTCCAGGACTACTAGAATAGAAGGATTAGAAGTATGAAATAATCTAATAATCTTAATCTTTGTAGTTGTTTTTTGCCTGAGCAATGCCGGGTTCATCTGCTGGTAGGAGTAAAAAAGTCAAAGGAATCAATGGTCGACATGTGATCCTTTACAACAGTGTTTCTCAACCTCTAATGAATCATCGCCCCCTTCAATAAAACCGTTACCTATTATCGCCCCCTTCACTTCAAAATTCCGATGCCAAGGACCAAGACTAATGCCAAATTCGTACTGCATTGAATAGACTAGTGATTAGTATAATGTTATTTGTTTAATTATTGTACGATATAGCGAATAAAATATCTAATTATTCTTAATATAATGTTTTACTATCTCGCCCAGAAAATTGTTTTTCACCCCCCAAAATATAAATTGTTACTAATCGCCCCCTCAACATGAAAAAACGCCACATGGGGGCGATATCGCCCCTGTTGAGAAACTCTGGTTTAAATCAATGAAAGGTGCAACGAGAAGGTGGCTTGAAAGCGAGCGTCATCTTTTCTCAAACCTGAATTTAAACTAAGTTACCTATAGCCAATTTGNTAAATTAAGGTAAGGCCAATGAGTTTTCAAAAAGGATTCGTCTCGACATACAATGGAAAACAGTATTTTTAAACATTCTATCTCACGATGAATCCTAAGCTACATAATTTTTAAAAATATTTTATTAGTAGCCAATATGTTTAGCAGTTTACTTGAATTCTTATCATGATATAATTTTGTATGGAAATGAAATTACGTGTTTTCAAATTATTCTTCAAAGTTACTTTCTGTAATAACAACCTATTCTAATGAATTATAAATCTTTCAGAAGTAAATAAAATAATCTTTTTATTATTATTAACTTTTCTGAAGTATCAGTCTAAATTGCAATAAAATGTATAATTTCTGGAATTGTGTTAATTATCTAATTCTTTTTTGTTCATAATGCAATGAGTTTGACAAACACTAGACTTTTCAGCACTTTCGTTCTTTAGTAGAAAGTATTATTTGACCAAATGATAGAAGTATTGTTTAAATCAATGAAAGGTTCAACGAGAAGGCGGCTTGAAAGCGAGCGTCATCTTTTCTCAAGCCTGAATTTAAACTAAGTTACCTATAGCCAATTTGCTTAGAAACAACTGCGATAATAGTAAAACACTATATTCTTGAAACATTTAAGTAGTTTTGATAAAAAAATTACAAATCATAGAAATCATGTCTTTATTTCTGAAACTTATTTAATATGACATAAGTTTAAAAGCAATCTTCTTTCGAAACACAAGATCCATCTGATGCTCTATAATAGCCTTTTTTACAAAAGCATCCGTAGATGCATTGCAAGGTGCAAAATTTTGGTGGGTTATCGTAATTCTCACATGTTATAGGACATGCAGTTCCACATTCTAAAAGCTGTTCATTTTCTCTGTCGCACCCTGTAAAATAAAAATGTTACTACATAAAATTACAAAATTTTACTCATATTTTCAGTTATGAAATATTCAGTATAGTTATGCAAAGGATTTAGAATAATTCGTTCTAGAATAAGAAGATTTAGAATACTTTCTTAAAAACGTACATATTTTAAAGTTCTGAATTTAGAAAATACTTCACTAATAAGTGGAAATGTTTTAAATGAAGCATATAATTTTGAAGTGAAATATCATATGAAAATAAAAAATAAACGATGATATTTAAACATTAAAGTCAACAAAAAATAATATAATTTGTATCTAAATTCCAAGTTATTCCATGTACAGTACTGTACAAGTACAATTTATATTTATTATAAATAAATTGTACTTATATTACTATACTTGTATAATAATATAAGTAAATTATATTTATTTATATTATATATACAA